CACACCCTATATACCCAACTTCCTACTCCATCCCTAAACCCTAAGCCCTGAACTCTATATACCCTTTATACCCTATATACCCTATATACCCTATATACCCTATGTACCCTATATTCCCAAGTTCCTACTTCATCCCTAAACCCTAAGCCCTATGAACCCAAGCTCCTACTTCATCCTATGCCATAGAGGATCATGCCTCAGGCTCACCTCTCGCAGTGAAGGTTCAGTCACCAAGCCCTGATCATGCTACCCCGCCCCTTTCCCCGGTTTAGGATTTAGGGTCCCCACCCCAGACGGACCACAAACGAGCTGTAGTCTAAACTCCTAGTATCCCCCTTAATAAGCCCTATGATAGTCCCATATGTAATCCCCTGTATAATCCACTTTATGCAGTTTCGATTATGGCTCAACTAAAGCCTAAGTAGGCCTTAGTTAGCGCTTCTTTGGGCCATACTTCGGGGACGGGTACCCTAAACCCTAAACCCTAAATCCTAAACCCTAAACCATAAACCCTAAACCCTCATTCCGGGTAGTATAGGATCCCAGGGCCTAACTTCCCGCGTCGCCCTAAGGCCCCCACGTGGAGACGGTCGAGGTAGTTGTGTTGCTTGGACCTCTCCAGCTTCTGACGAGTTTACTTGGCAGTTTCTCTAGATTAGGGGAAGTCGATCTAGACCCCAATATACTATAATCCTTACTATAATATACTACAATAAACTATAACCCTTACTATAGGGATCCCAAAAAGGTTTCCCTAAGTTTGGGAGACCCAGTTGCTGCTGAGCAACAAACCTTTACCCAGGGTGAAGGCGGCGTATGAACAGGTGCCCTATAAAGGAACTTTTTTTGGGAACCCCAAACAGGAAAATAGTAGGAATATACCTACTAGGGTCCTTATATGCTATATTCTTGGGGTTCCCTGTTTGGGGTTCCCATTAGAATCCTTTTGCCCCAGAAGCAGAATACCGAGTGTGACCTTGTCCTTCGAAAAACCCGTCCACATGACCCTGAAAACCGAGGGGGACCTTGCTTGGAGCCATTTGAACATGGAAGCTAAGCACAAGCCAACTCTCTAATATACTGCTGTTATATATATAGACTATAATATACCGTGATATACTATAATATACTATAGTATATGTATACACTATAATATACTCGAATATACTATACTATATTATGATATACTATAAGTACTATAATATACTAAAATACAGTAGAATATACTCTAATGCACCATGTAGTATAATATACTACTATGATACCCCTCAACGCCCCCCAAAATCCTGAGAGTTCAACCTCGCCACGTCAGTTCTTTCCCAACTCACCATATTATAGTATAGTATACTATCGCATATTATAGTATATTCTAATCTATTCTAGTATATTCTAATTAACATATTATGGTATATTATATTGGTATATCATTGCCAATTCACCTGTCACAGAAGCCTCTATGACGTATAAAGTTCTCAAAATGGGCGGCCGCCCTTCAGGTGAGAACCACAAGAAAGCCCTCTGCCTGAGATGTCGTAGTCCATGTCCCTCATTTGGGTTCAGGGTAGGGGGTCTACTTGGAGGGTCAGGGGGACAAAGCAAGTAGGTTAATAACCCCTACAAGCCATATAGTAACCCTAATTATCCCCATTATTAACCTACTTCCCAAGTCCGCCTGACCCTCCAATTAGGGTTTAGGGTGTAGGGTCCATGTCCCTCAGACAATGTCTTGGCGTATGGACCTGGGAGGTGGCTCTGGGTGTGGAAGCTGATGGCATAACGCCGAATATCGGCAATTTCATAGGTTGTAGGGTTATATAAGGGTGTATAGGATCAAATAAGGTTATACAGGGTTATATATAAGCTACAGCAAATGCAGTCCACGGGCAGCTTTCCAAATTTCACTAATGTTGCGCTGGCTTTGGCAAAGCGACCTTGAATAATGTGTTTTGGCTGCCGCTTATTCAAAGTCAGGCCATTGTTGGGAACACCTTGAATGTGGTGTGTTGAATTTGGAGCCCTAAAAATACGGCACCGAATCCAAGCCATCCCGTTTAAATGTAACCCCCAAGGCCTCCTGAGGCCCTCTGCTGGGTTACCGCAAGTTGAAATAATATACTAGACTATAACCTACTACAAAATACTATAATATACGATCATATGCTATCATATAGTATAGTATATCATGATATACTATATTATAATAGGAGCCCAAGAATCACAACTTTGACTACCCCCATCTCTGTGGTAGTACAGAAAAACGCTGGGTCAACCTGTAGTGCATAAAAACTGCGCTTGCTGCGTCTTAACTGAGAACAAAGCGCCTTGTCCCTGCCACGTCCGTTCGCAGCTTCAGTGTCTCGAGTGACTTCCAGCTATGCCCCCGTCTCTGAACTCTAAAGTCAGCGCTGTTCAAGGCTTGGGGCCCAAATAGTTAACCCAAATCCAAATAGTAAGATGCAGCACCTGGTGACCCGAGAGCCTCAAACCGGGGACCTTCTCTGAGGCCTGGGCGAGTCCGTATTGTTCAGGTCCATGTCCTCCTCAAACTGTTTGGGGTTTATGTCATCGAGGCTTTGAGATGCAGGGCTGAGAGCTTAACAAAGCTCATCGGACTTCAGGGCTCTTGTCTGGCGAGGTGACCCCGCAGCATACTTCATCAAACAATACTGCGTGAGTTTTCAAAACAGCTGGGTAGTTCCCAAAATGAGGGTCCCATTTTGGTTAGAGATTATATTACGGCACGGAATATTTAGTCGTATCAAAAATGGGACCCTAATTTCTGGAACTACCCAGCGGCAGATCAAAGGAGCTTAATGGGAAGGCGACAGCGCGCGAGAAGCTACAGTGCCAAGGTTCTCGGCTCCTTGTCAAGACTTCTCCATTCTGGAATAAAAAAATAACAGTAATGAGAGCAATAACTATATTATATAAAAATGGCAGTATCAAGAATGGTAATCATGGTGATAACAGGAACAGTAGCGATGATAGCAATAGGCGTATCACTTCTCACGGGGTCGCTCCAGGCCCGCGAGAATCTGAGATGTCACTCGATCGGGTAACAAACGGAGCGGTCAGGTCTCAACCGGCCGGCTGTTGTTTAGTTGCGCTGAAGCGATCGATCACAATTTAAAAAGACTGGCTCATGGATGCTGAAAAACTACTGTACTTCTTACCCTGACCAGGACGGCGACATCTTGCGATTGACGGAGGGGTGCAAAGCCTCTGGCATGCGATCAGCCTCAAGTGCTTTGCTTCTGAGTGATGCAAAGTTCGTCTGCATGTTGACAGCACTGGGCACCGATGGCGCATGGTCTAGGCTAGACGCTCACATGAGCGCCTTGGCCTGAAATCCTTTGACAAAGGAAGGAAACGCGCCTAGACTGGGTGGCTTTGCATCCGTGGAAAGATCCAGGAGGTGGGAATCGGAGCACAACCTCTTGACAGCAGGACTGACTAAAGCCTTTGACCTGAGCCACCCCTAAACTGAAGGTCCTCCGAGACGTTTGAGGTGTTGGAGTGGTTGAGCATGACCTTAACAATGAAATCTGTATAGGTCGCTGCTGGAGCCACCAGGCTGGGTAGTCTCTTCAATGGCAAGCATATGATCAGCATATGATATACTATAAAGTTTTAAGTACTACGATCTACTAGAATATACTAAATTATTATCTACTATAATACACATTTGGCTGCCCCAGCTCGCTGTGGCTCTGGCCTCTTGCCGCATCACTTCGCTGGATGTGGTCGTTGTCCTTATATAGTGCCCCTTAAGTAGATAGAATATGGCTTTGGGTATATTAGAATAAGATCCCCATGTACCCCATATTCTATCTACTTGAGAGCGACTATAATCACTTTTTGACAAAGTTTGGCCAGCAATCTTACGACTGGTATGGAACACAATGTATTCGCGAACGTAGTTCTAATGCGGTCTGCTTCACAGTCCTGTACAGCAGCTGCAGCTGCAACAATCAGAATTATGGCATAGCTCTATTGTTGCAGACGTGTGAGTTACAAAGCCACCATGCACGAAGCAAGTACACTCTAAGCCCGTGGCGGGGTCGTAGTTGGCGCGACCTCAGGAGTCCAGACCCAAGCATGCCGGAGATTCATCAATAAGCAGAAAGGCACAGGGATCTACGTGCACCAAGCCCGAGTGCAGGCACATTCACCCGGTACTTGGTGGTCGAGTGCCGCGCAAATATATATATATATATGTATATATATATATATATGTATATATCCTCCAAGGCACCAAAAGAGCAGCACTTCAGACACTTGAGCTCAAATCGATAACTCCAAGTTCGAGCTTTTAACGCCCGCTTATAGAGCTGGAATCTCGCCTTATCCAGGTGAGCCACGCTGAAGGCCGCCACCACACAGGACTCTGAAAAGATCACTGCTGGCGCTAACGCCCTCTAAAGGTGCTCCGACTTGAATTTGAAAATCGCTGTAGCGCTAGCATGATGACCAAATGTCCTCTGTAGGTTGGCTGGATCAGCTTGCAGCCTGAATTTCTCGCCTGAAGGCCATCACCACACAGGACACTGAAACGATGACTGCTGGCGCTAACGCCCTTTGCAGATGTTCCGAGTTGCAAAACTATTGGAAAATCGCTGTAGCGCTAGAGTGATGAACAAACGTCCTCTGTGGGTTGGCTGGGTGAGTTTGCAGCCTGAGCTTCTAACTCGCGATCTGCGCAGCGTTGCTGCAATTGCAGCCAGGATTCCGTTCAGCAGAGCTCGATGCTCAAGACAGGGCCAATCGCAGAAGCTGCTGATGGCAACTAGCCGTGGCCACAAAGATCCTACCCCGGGCTCAGGACGTCCACGGGCAGCCATCCGCCATCTGTCATCTTGACCCCAGAAGCTGGCCAGCCTTAGTCGCCAGGCTGCCCTTGAGGCGGAAGAATGATCTGCTCATGAAAGGCCCAGTAATCATGCCAAAGGCTCTGGGCAAAGAGTCCTACAAAACAGACTCATTGTATGCAGCCATCACGCCCCAGATGTAGTCACAGCGGTAGGCATTGACATCCTGACAGAGTCTCCATGCTCCAACAGTGACTGCTAAAGGGCCTTCATGCTCCATCTTTTGGCTCTTTGCCCAGCTATGCCTAATGATTCACTAGTGTTACCTCTTCCTGCATGTTGCTTTACGTATGCAGGGTCTAAGTTAACCACTCCCTGCCATCACTCAACCCGCCTCAGGCGGGGCCCTCGTGTTCAGGTCAACGCGGATCTGCGATCTTCTGCTTACTTTCAGATAGCCTCCCTCCGCTTCGATGCTTGGATCGTACCTGCTCACTGCAAGGATGTTGCTAATCCGCGCGGCCCGCTACAAAATCTGATGGTAGAAACTGGCTCAAATATCCGGGACCGACAAGCACTAGGGTTTAGGGAGTTTAGGGTTAGGGTCAGCTGTGGGCGCCAGCCAGTAGAACCGAGAAAGCTTCCAGACGAAAATGTCATATAATGTATTCCCTTGTTCCCTACATTACCTCTATTCTACTTTAGTAGTTTCCTTGTTTTTGTCCATTATCCCCATAACGCTACATCATACCCCTATATTCCCACATTCCCTGCTAACCCCTACATATATATATATATATGTATGTAGAAAAGCTCGACTATAAGGTAATAGTTTCCATGTTTTTCCATTATGCCTATACAACCCCAATATCCCACCTCCAACCCTCGACCCTAAACCTCATTCAGAAAACGCTGCTCAACTGCGCCCAGGGGACTCTGAGATTGCATACATCACCTGGGTTGCTGTTAAGAAACTTAAATTAAATCACCAAAAGAAGGGTATATAGGGTATGAGACTCTGCGATTGCCTACATCACCTGGGTTGCTGTTAAGAAACTTTAATTAAGATACCATAACAAGGGTATATAGGGTGTATATATATATAGGGTGTATATATATATATGTAGGGTTTAGGGTTTAAGG